TGAATATCCACCTTTAAGTGGGAATATCTCGAAAACCAATCACTTAAATATCAAAGACTTTAAAATTATAGTCTAAATAAGTTTTTGAACAGTAACGTAAAATTTAGAAAGAATGAAGGTGTTAATTATCCGTGAAGTAAGCCACTGGCAAAGTTTATTTAATTGATTGTTTTACTAATAGGTGTATCTTTTAACGACAAAAATGTTTACCGAATTTGGAAAAATTATACTAATGCTATAGTCATTAATGATTTTTGAATTTCTAACTTTAACACCCTTTATTTCGGAAACCAATAATATTTTATGTGAGCATAAGTCGTCTTATTTGTATTTAGAGAATCTTTTCTCTGTCCCATTCTTAATGAGACACCCTGTATATTATCGATTTTTTTTCATCAGATAAAATAACAAAACACTTAATTTAATTGTAAAATATTATAAATAAAAAAATTAAAAATCATTTAAAAAATCTCTTATTGTAATCAGTTTATATGCCTACTACAAAAATGTACATAATTTTTTTATGTTCTCACACAAGAAACTTTCCCTTTAGTCTTTTGGATAATTATGGTTTTATTTTTTTCGTGACGTGTTGTATCTGGGCAATAAAACGAACAATTAAGCAGGAAGTTTAACTAAATAATATGTAATATAATATTATCGAATTGAAAGAATTTATATTATAGTCCTCTGTTCCATTTTTTTTTTTTTTTTTAATAATTTTATATCGTATTTGTTCATTTAGTTATCTATTAATTAAATAATTATATCTATTATTATTCTTTAAAAATTAGAAAACTAAAAAATTGTTTGATATAATTTTTTTAAACAAATTAATGCAAAAAATGTTAAACATTTCAATAGAACACGTACTCGTACATATTAGATCTTACTATTTTAATTGAAAAATCAAAGATTACAAATTAAACTTTAATTATAATATTATTAGTAATAGCCATTAAATTAAAAATAAGTTACAATTAAAATTGATTTTTCTACATATTAGATCTTACTATTTTAATTGAAAAATCAAAGATTACAAATTAAACTTTAATTATAATATTATTAATAATAGCCATTAAATTAAAAATAAGTTAGTAGTAGAATCCTGTATGATTCTTTCTCGCTCGATGCGTGAGGGTGGTGAGTGGTTAGAGTCTGGACTTCCGAATCCAAGGATCCAGGGTTCAAATCCTACCGCTGCATTGGTTGGCCGGAATTTTTTTATAATTAATTTAGATAATTAAAAATTAATTCCGTAGCCGATGTAGGATATCGCACACGACCAAAAAGTACAACTTATTGTTCTTTAAAAAAATATTCCGGAATTAAGAAATTTTGAATTTGAATATTTTTTTATATCAAAACCTTTTTGCCAGACTATCTTAAGTGCCATTTGAACAAATGTCGCTTACGTTAGTCTGGCAAAAAGGTATCGATATATCGCCTATTTCCCCCCTAAAACGATATGCTACTGGTATAAACTATTATCTTACTTCATCATCATTATCGGTAACGTGTGGAGAGTGGAGTAACCCACCGCACTTAGGTCTCACTAGGCTCATTGTGTATCCTCCTAAGTAGATAGGCACATCCTAGCTCGTGAGCCAACCTACATATTTAATGTAGTTCACAACGTCGCCAAGAGATGCTTTTCTAACACAAATCTTCTAATAAATGAGAGCGTCGAACAATCATAGATGATCGTCTTCTTGTTCGCACCCCTGCAGAATGTGGATTCTTTCAGCCCAATGTTATGGAGATGCTTCCGTTCTTGGTAATTTCCAGTCAGAATGCCTGTGATCAGGCGAAGATTCTGTCTAGTCGTAGTCAAGTATTTGTTTGATAGTGTTGTCACGATAACTTTAAAACTGCGTGGCAAGTCTGCAGCTTATTGCTTTATCCCATCTTTTCTTGAATTTGACAAGGGAATGTTCTATAAATAGGTTTGTCACTACCGATTTTGTCAATCCAATAGAAAGGCCAGGTCCAAACAGTATTTGGTTGGCTGACTTTGTAGCTAGTAAATCTTGCTGATTACCTTTCGATGTGGCATGACCTTTGATCCATCTTAAGTTGACCACATTGTTGAAGGATACTTCGGCCAATGCTTCGCGACATTCTAGTACCAACCCTGAGTAAATTCATGGTCTGTCCAGGGTGAGTAGTGCTTGTCTGCTATCTGTAGAGATGAGCATGATAATATTTATATTATTTCTTTTGCTGCTATGAGAATCCTTGTGAGTTCGATTTGAACTACACTGACCCTACTGCTCACAGCTCAATTTATGTTAAGGTTTAAAGATCTTGAATATATTCTACATCCTGAGCCTTGTTTTGTTTTAGAACCGTCGGTGTAGATATGAATCGTACCTGCCACTTCTGGCTCTTCTATTTGTTCTATTATACATTTATATAGCTTACGGAAGGTATATATCGGTGAGATGGAATCCATGTTCGCTTGAAGCAGTGGGACCGTATCGAGCGCCTCCTGCCAAAAGCGACGTCTCGCCTCACCAGATCCTACATCAGGTTCTATTCCATCCGGAAGCATGTAATTGTCATCAGAGCAACCTCCTTGATGTAAATATCAAGGGAAGTGAGACTAAGAATGATCCATGGCTCTGTTTTCATGGCTTTTCTTATGTTGAGACATGCTGTTCTTTGAATTTGTTCTAGTTTGCGGAGAGCTGTTAACTTTTGAGTTTTCGGTACCCAGACAACTGCACCGTATGTTAGCATAGGTCTTATGATGACCGTGTAAGTCCATGCGACAACTCTGGGGGAGAGACTCCAGGTGCGCCCCACAGTTCTACGGTATTGTTCATGTATGCTTTTTTTATTCTTTTACACTTACTGCACTTATCTCACTCATTAAAAAAGACATGGAAAATTAGTAGCTTCTAAAAATTCTGTGGTTGTGAAACGATAAGCTTTTCAATAACCGTTTTTAATTTAGTCTACAGGAGATTTAGCAATTTTTTGTAACTAATATAACTCTAAGAACATTGTTATTTAAATGACAAATATATTAAATATATCTCATCTCAGACCATTATACTATACCTTAGTTCAAACTCGCATCCAATGTGCTATTTTATCGTGGGGGGCTACAACAAAGAATCACACAAACAAATTAGAAATACTACAAAAGAGAATATTAATTATACATAATAACAAAACTCGATATCCGTCGGGCGCCCTTTTCTCTGAAATAAACATATTCGATATCAAACAATTATATGTTTACACATCTCTTATGTACACTCATAAAAATAAAAACATTTTAACAAAAATTATTCATACCTATAAAATCAGAATTAAACTTACCCGTCAAATAAATTGATTGGACAAAGACATTTTAATTTCTTAATAAGTAAAATTTACAACGTTATTCCAGATATGTTGAAATTGTATTTATTGACAAACTCAAAACATTTATTCGTATAAATTATGAATTTTTTTTATTAAATACTGAATTAAATTTAATTCATGCAATTTTTGAGTGATTTGTTTAGTCGGATCTGAAATTGGAAAGCGATAAAATACAAGTATATTTAGCAATCTTACCACTACAAGCTCTAGTAAAAATATCTTATATTTAATGTAATTATTAAGTTTTTTTAAGTGTACACATCTATTAGAAATTTGTAATTTTTTATTTTAATTTTGTTATGATATAAAAAAGTAATCGAATACCTCTGCGCATCCTACAAGGACATAAATGGGTATGTTCGACTACCTACTTATTTGATTTTCTGCAATCATTAAAATAATAGTTTTTTCTTTTATTTCGTTTTGTTCGTATATATCAATGAAAAAAAAGTAACATTCGAGTGAGACAATAGCTATTTATGCAACTAGTGACGTAAAACGTCATTTCGCAAAGTGTTAAATACAATATTTCTTCTAATTTTGACTAGATATCTTATAAAATTTTGTTTTGGTAATAAATAACTGACAACTAGGCAACCAATATTACTTTCTGGTATTGTTAGTTGCATATTGACAAATAGAAAATCATATTAATTTATTCTCAATGACTTGTAATCTGTTTATATTGCTTGTTAAACTTATTTAGTTTTCAACAAAGTTGGTTATTTTGTAATGTATTGTGTTTTAATTATTTTGAATGAAAAATAAGGATCAGAACAACATTATTGCTGGGTTGTAAGTTTAACCAAATTATATTTTTATGTCCACCTGCCCTTCTTTGATATAAACTTTTAATAATAATAATTCTATTTGTTTTCTTTTCGCAATTCGTGATATAATTTATTTTTCGTAACCAGTTTCATAAAGTTCAACATTATGCAAGTGACTGCTTAAAGTAGATCATTTTGATACTTGCTGCGATTACAAAAATGTCACTTTATATGTAAACATTAGGAAAAAAAATACTTTTTTAATGTTACTACGAATTGTTTCCGTTAGTAGCTCTGTAGACGGCCACCACAGAAATAGTAGCGCGAATTGCAACAAGATCAAAATTGCTATGAAATATCATTTCATATTTCTCGAAGTTTGTTTTAATAATTAATAATGAATTTTAATTTAATTATAATATGATTGTAGAAGAAATTGTGTATACAACTCATGTACGAGTGTTCGTTACATAAATAATTATTAATATACTGTATACCTAATAAAAATGGGTATTTGTGTATTAAGAGCGAAAAGTGATACTTTAGCAAATAACTTCAAAATCATTTACTAAAAAGAAATATCATTATATTATATGTAATTTAAACTAGGCGAGCAACAAAGCTGTCAAGTTTTCCGCTCGGTGAGCGACAAAGCTGTCACTTAATATCAGTTCGCGGAAAACGTCAACTTTGCGGTTGTATTTCGAGGCGCAAAAGCCTACTTTGGATAGTGATCGTAGAAAAATCATATATTCTTGAAATAATTGTTAAATATTTTTATTGACAAACAGAAAGAACTATTTATTTATATTTGGAAATTCTTTTTTAATGACTTTGCATTCTCTTTTGTTTTAGATCCCAGGACTGCCGATTGGTTCCTGATGTCAGGCCCATTTCCAACATTAGGAATATGTCTTTCATATGTATATATAGTTAAAGTAAGTAATGTACCTATTTAATTTCTTTATGATAATAAAAAGAAACCTTACATAACTTACACAAAATTAATTACAAAAATCTGTGTAATGCATAAATTATTATTTTATAATATGTTATGGGTATGTTACTTTTATTAAAAATCAGCACATACAAGTTAAATTGGACAATTTGTTTGGTAAATTAGATTAATTTCAAAATTGAAGAGGAAGTTTCATATGAAAATGAAAAAAAGAACATCTGCTTTAGATGAGATTTAAATTAAAAGAAATAGACCTAATCTAGGTTGACATAAAATTAAATGATTATAACACTGCACAATAGCATTTCTGATGATTGAGTTATATTACATGACACTAGCTTAATTTTTAATGAAGACTTCAAATCTGTAATCTAAATTTCTGTATTAGCTCTGTATTGCCGTTTCATAGTAAAACATAATTTGTTTAAAGTTAATCATATTTCACTTAGTTTTTGAGGTGAAAAAAACTTTCTTTTATAAGACTTCCTTGCAGAGGTTGAACCCATAGAACTGTTCTGAATACTTCAACAATAGTCAGCTATAATGTATGCGTTCCAGTAGCCTTCATACCGTTCCTCTATCGTACGAAGGTCCTGGTAGAATTGCTCGCGCTTTTCTTCATTTAGATCCCCAAGATTTTAGCGGAAAAATAATCTAGGTGGATCTGAAGAAAGTGCAACTTGATGCTCATGTTACATCCAAGGGTTTGAAAGTGACTCATTAGTTGTTCAACGTGTTGAGAATAGTTAGAACTTTTCTTGTTTCCCAAAAAAATTTGAACAAGCCAAACAAACTCATTCCATGCGTTTTTCTCAATTTCTATCATAGTGTCCGTGAATTTTGTGTCTTTTATTAATGATCTTATCTGTGGCCCATCGAAAATGCCCGCTTTTATCTTTGCTACACTCAGTTTCGGGAATTTTTTTGATAGAAATAGAAAACAATTTCCAGTTTTGTTAAGACCTTTAACAAATTGTTTTATAAGCCCTAATTTTATATGCAACGGAGGCAAAATTATACGATCTCTTGACACTAAAGGTGGGTTTATCACGTATTGTTGTCCTGGAACTAGATCTTTCCGAGGAGGCCAATCCTTTTTAACCCAATGTTGATTTTTAGCTCTACTATCTCACAAGCAAAGAAAACAAGGATACTTTCTATAACCACCTTGCTGGCCTAATAGAAAGTTGACAATTTTTAAAGCAACACATATGATCCAGTTATTTTCCACATATTTAATTTTGTCTAAAACCAGATTAATAGTTGTATATTCTTTTTTACTTGTGTAGAATGTGCAATAGGCAACGACCCTAATTTATTCCCATTGTGTAAGGGAACACATTTTAGACTCCGTTTTGACGAGTCTATGAATAAACGCTACTTACTAGAAACATAATTTTGTAATCACATTGCAGCCATTAATCCAGGTACATCTTTACAAAATACGAAATTGTCTTCTTCAGCAAAATATTTGAGGAAATTCTGTTCTCTTGTGCGGTAATAAGAAATTTTAGTTTCTTTTAGCCTTAAAGCCAAAATTTCTGAAGCTGACTTTGACAGTCCCAGATCTATAGTTATGTCGTTTAAATTATCTTGATTGAATGGTTTGGGCGTTCCCAGGTCGCATTCAAAGTCACTATCACTACTGTCATTTTTCGTCTCAAAATCTTCTGGCTCTTCCTGTAAAGTACCAAATTGAGGTTCAGATATAGACTTAGGGCTCAGGACACATCTATGTGCCGATTGTATGGAAGGATATTTCCATTTGGCTCGATTTTTTCGGTTAATACCAGTTATGTTCACCAAACAAAAATAACAATCCTCATGGTGGTTCATGGGTTCATTCCAAATCATAGCGGTTTTGTACCTGAAGCTATATCTTTTCTTGTTTGTCCATAAACGTAGGAACTCAACGCATGGTTTGCATATTATTTGCGAAATCCAAGGCTTATTCTTTATTTCAAGGGGGTGCCCAAAGTAATTTTTGTAAGCCTCATTTACGAACGTTGTCACATTTAAACGGTATTCTTTAAATAAATGAAACAAAAATTGTTTGAATCATTCACACATACTCGTTCTTGACGATGCCATATCAAATTACAAAATAAAACAATAATTCAAACAAGAAAGATAATTTCACTATTGTCTTACTAAACCTTCCTCTAAAATAACAAAAGTTTATTTCTTAAAACTTCTGAAATTGGGTTTTACCGGTCATTAAAGAGAGGTACTTTTACCTTTATAAGTATGTCCTAAGAAACTACAGGGGGTGTCCGCGGTCGTACAACAGAGGGGTCGTTAAAGAGGATTATAAATTAATGGTATTTTCAAATCAAATTAAATATGTATAATAATTCAATAATTATTATTAAATAAACTGCAAATAAACACTATAGTACAGCGAATTTTTAGTGAAAGCTATAACTTGTAAACAAGAGCTGTCAGAAAAAAAGTGGGGGTGTATTTAGAATTAGCGACTTAAAATTAGTAAACATCATATGACATAAGTTATTCATCAGTCAGAGTGTAATTTTGTTGGCCAGTGTAATGAATCAAATCGGGCTTAAGGAAATCAATAGAAAATTATTAGTCATTCATAATTAATAGTCTTCTCGACCATCGAAACAGCTAATTTTAAAAAATCGATTACAAAATGATTTTATTTCTGTCGACCTTATAATCAGTTAATTTATACCCCAGGGCTTGAACGTAGTAATTTAAACTCTTGAGCTTTAAAGAGAAGCTTGTGCGCTTAAATTATATGAAAAAAATACTGTAATTTTAACACAGTCGTAAAGGTTTGTAGTTTTATGAGCGGTATATTTAGATAACGAATTGGAAAGTGTTTAATTTTTGTCAAGAAAAGTAATGTTATTTTCATCGTGTCATTTAGAGTTTAGAAACAAAGGAAGAAGAGATTAAAAAATACCTAAGTACTTTCCACACTTTTCCTTTTTTCACTTGTCAGTAATAAATCTATTACTTGTTTATTGGTTAGCTCAAATCGCTCAAGTGCATATTATTATTTTTTATTTTCACTTTGACAATGCGTTTATTTTCTTAAATACAATATGTCCAAAGTTTGAGCCTCTATATTTGGAATCCCGCCTAATACAAGAGATAGAAGATTGGTTAAACAGAGAATCTTTTATAGAATTTGATATTAATTGAGGATCCATTTTCAAAATTATTGAAAGTTATGTAGTTTTTTTAGTAATTTTAAATAAATTAAAAATTGCAGATACTATTTTGTTTAAATGGCGACTTAATCCTTTATATTCAAAAGTTTAACGTTGAATATTTTTATAGAAAAATATAATAATTTGTTTACTAATTTATTTACCGTAACTTTGTTATTTCTTGTGACCACAATCTTGGATTTTAACCTATACATTGGATGGGATATGTAGTAACTTATTTTATTCCCAGAGGCCGTTCAGGGTGACTTTATTACACAGTGGAAGGTACACCATGGAATGGAATATGGTTAGAGATCTAGAATAGATTACAAATAAACCTAACATTACAAATTTAAGTTACATAAATTGACGAACTCCAGAGGGGTTTTGAAAAATGAGAGATTATTTAGAGATAATAAGTGCATCAGATTTTAGAGTGGATTTATGTTATAAATAATAATTTTAAAGACGGATCTTAGATCAGCATCATTTTCTCTAAAACATTCTCCATTTAACCCATTTTTTTCTTATATTTATTGGGATAATATAGAGACTTAATTTCGGACACACTATATATAGATTAAAGCTTTATCGAACAAAAAATTAAATATCATCAAAAGTTGCATGAGAAATAGTTTCTTTTAACTGTTGATAGTATCCATTTTAATGAACCAACTTAACCAATTTAATTAGTGTAAGGGTAGAGTAATTAAACCGCACTCAATGAATGGGGCATGTTCAAAAATTTTGAATTGAATTATGAATAATAGAGTTGAAAATAAAACTACATTATTTTTTATTTTTTTTTTATCTATTCATTTGCCGGAGTTATGAATTTTTTAAAATTTATGACGTCACCGGGAATAGACCAATAGGAGCTAGCGCCACAACGTTGCCGGCTAGAAGGTTTACGAGAAGTGATGTACGTTAGTTTGTGTACTCCTTCTTACTTTTAGACTTCTAAAACATCGTTAAACAAATATCTTTTAAATATATAATGTCAAATGTTTTTTTAAAGTAATATTTCTGTTTAAACTTTTACCATATTTAAAGTTTCATTGTTTTAAAAGGCACTTAATAATTCAGAAAATGGAAAAATGGCAGCACTGTGCATGGCATTTGTCATCATAGTGTCTCGATTTATTTGAGTGTTTAATTTTGTACTTTTTATAAATATTATGACTACGAAAAAGTGTTTTGTTCCAGAATGTGATAATGATTCACATTCATCTTTAAAAATATTTATTAGTGTTCCTAGAAATTTGGAAAGAAGAAAATCAACCTTCTACTAGCGATGTTTCTCGTGAACTTTTTAATAAAAATACACCGGATTATCAAGATGAAGCAGCAATTTCTGCTAATTGTCCCCTTCAGGAAATTGAAAATGAGGCTACTATAAATTCTCAGGTGTAAACCTAAAAACCCTTCTGGAAGAAAATGCAGAATCTCCTGAAAGTTTTGAAGATACCGAATTTATTCATCATTTTGTGGAAGAACTAGTGATAAAGAAATAATAGTAAAATGTTAGTATTTAAACAAACTGGTTCCTGGATCCCATATAATGGCAGATAGGGGTTTCAGAATATTCATCTACTTGAAAACATGGGATGAACTTTAGTAAAGCCACACCTAGTGTATCACAGAATGAAAAAAGTTCTCCAGAAGATGTACAATTAAGTGAAAGAATAGCATCTCTAAGAATACATGTGGAAAGAGTTATAAGAAGGGTTAGTTAATTTAACATGTTAAAACCACATTCCTGTGTGAATTTTAAGCAAGTACATTTACTTAGTAATATCTGCATAATTGCTTGTTAACTTTAACCTATTTTGTAAGAGTAAATATTAATTTAATAAACTTTTTTTATTTGTTTTTTAATTTAATTTACCTAATTATCACATTTCAGGGATTATAATCAGTTTTTAAACAGCCAATGTAATTTTTATAAAATTTTAACTTTTCGAGCAAATCAAAGAGGAATGAGTACCTGTATATGCATAGATTTTTTGGGACTAAACTAAACCAGAGGCACCTATTTACAGCAGTTTAAAATGAAACATTTTAACAAAAACGCCTATGTCACAGTGATAAATATTAAAAACAACCAAGTTCAGTTGAATGTGGTAGCAAAGTCTATATATTCCAATAAATCGGGTAACTACATGTGGTATCACTGGTGATAAATTTAAAAGTATCACAATTCTTGCCACCTTTTCCAAAAAACTAGAAAGTGTGCCTTCTTATCAATCATTTACGAAAATGACAACAGTGATAAATGTAAAAAAAAAATTTAATGTTGCTATTCGTTATAACGATAGTAAAACATGTTTGCAGTTCCGTTTATTTTTTATGAAAATCTAAGTAAAAACAACCAATGTCAAAGGGTTATAATTTTTTTCTGTCAAACCAAATATATTACAAAATTAAAAATTGATCATAGGTCAAGCTAAAGTAATACCTTTATTGATAGTAGATTTAAAAAAGGAGAAAGAATAATATTGACTTAAGTTATTATTATTAACATTGGTGATTTTTAATAAAAACTCTTCAATTATTTATTACAAACAAAAATATAAAAATCTGAAAATTTTATTTATTACGCTTTTAATAAAAAATGAGAAAAATGAAGTAAAAAACAATTTATTTACAAATAAAAAATATATCTGTACCTCGGAGCCAGACTATGTTAAGTCCAAATTAGCCAAATTTTAGGTAAATATGTTAAGTGACTTAAAATTTTGCGGCGCATGGTTCGATATTTTCCATTTTGACGTATCTTTTAAAATAACAAAAACAGCTCATTTTTTAACTACGCTAAGCCCACACTCCACAGTCTAAAATGAATATATAAAAAATGCTCTCCTGAAAAACTAAGTTTTTGGACTTAACATACTCTGGCTCTGGGGTACAGATATATACAAATACTAAGAATATAAAAGTACTGATTTATTTTCCTGTAGTGGATGAAGAGGTTTCTTTAACAATCTAGCCAAGTGTACATCAATATTTACGCATTTTGATAAATTAGAGCCTTTCCAATAAAACTGAGTAGATATTTCTTCTATGAAGCCACATGTTTACAACCACCTGAAAAAAATAAAAGGGTTAGATATGCAGTTACTAAATAAGTATATAACCAGCTACAAATGCCTTATTTTATGTAACAAGACGAGCAGAGCTTTCTAGTTCTGAACGAATCCATTTTCACATTTTTGAAATATTATAGAGCTTTTCGAAAAAAACTGCTATTTTTAAAAGTACAATTTTTTTGTTTAAACAGCTATGTCTTATTTTAGGCTATTGAGTATTATAAAATAAAAAATTACGGAATGTTTTGTTAGCTGCAAACGAATCCAGCGGAGCACCCCAGTTTTTTTTTTAAACCACATCACGTTTTTTGGCTCCTATAATATAAAATGTTCGAAATTTGGCATTTTTAAAAAAATTCGCAATTCCTTGCTGACTTCAAAGTTTTTTTTCTGAAAATAAATATATTTACCACATTTTTAGGATTTTAAAACAGCCTAAACATGTGTCATAAGTAGTTGTTTTTATATATAAAAAAAAAATTAAAAAACTGAAGTGTCCTGCTGACTTTGTTCCAACAAAGCACCCTGTATTATTTAAAAATAGCAATTTTTTTAGTAAAGTTTTACAATATTTCAAGAGTCTAAAAATATTCTAAAAATGGGGTGTGGTTTTTAGAAAAAAGCTTTAAAAAACCGAATTGCTCTGCTGGCTTCTTTCGAAGGTTAGCAAGCACTATGTATTTTTAAAAAAAAAATGATAATATTTCAAGTGCATAAATATATGGTGTTGCTGTTTTTACAGAAAAAACTTTATAAAACAGAGGTGCTTTGCTGACTTCGTTCGAAGCTATCAGAGCATTTTAAATTTTGCACATAACGAGGAGCATAAAATTTTTGAAAAGGGTATAAAAATATGGCATATGTTTTAACTTCAAATTTCATAGGTGCTCTGCAGCATTCTTTGGTATCATAATTATTACTAGGTTCACTAACAAAATCTATTTCTAGATTATTTTAACACTTGCTGTGATTACAAAAAATGTCTCTTTATATGTCAAAATTAGAAAAAATATTTATAGGAATAAAGGGCCTTATACACTGTTTATTATATGTGATATAAAAACAAAAAAGCATAATAAATATTACAAACCTTGAGATGCAGTATATCCTAAGCATTGTGCACTAAAAATTTTATTTTTGTTAATTACAACAACCACATTATAAAGTTTTTGCCCTATTTTATGTTTAGGTGTAATTTGTCTCCTTCTCTCTTATGGAAAAAGTAATTATCTCCATATTCTTGCTTGGCAGATCTAAAAATAAAACCTGAGATAAATATGTTTTACTATAAGGTATATTGCTCCATATAAACTGTAACTACCTACTATCAAAACAAATTATAAATAAAGTATTACCTTTCTGGCTTTTGTTAAAAAATGCAGTAATCATCTCGGTAATCATATTTTCGTTTACAATGGGTAAAACACTTGATTCAACTTTTATAAATCCAGCTGATACATTCATGTTAATAATAAAATTAAACCAAAACAAAAAACTAAGGTTAGGTGTTAGGTGGTGTCAATTTTAATGTCACTTAGATGTGCGTTCACTTCGACATTCTGTGTGTCGGTTTGTTCGTTGGCTTGGTTTTGTATAACAAAAAAAACTTCGACACAAGATGATTGGTCTATTCCCGATAACGTATAATTTCAAATTTTAAATTTCAATTGAGTTTAATTTAAAAACTTTTGGCTTTTTTAACGAACTGACTATTTAGAATAACTTGCATAGTGACTAACTATTACAATATAATTTATAAAACAGCATATCTCACATGTGAACATGGCCCATTGACTATAGACTGTGGAGATAGCTAGAAAACAAAATGGAGCCAATCTCACTAGAAATAACCCAGGAAGCTTTTACTTAAAGAAGTACAAACATAAGCTCTGCTAGCAAAAATACCTAATTGATAAATAAAGAAGAATTTGAAATCACCTTTTCATATTTTTTTTTAATAAAGTTAAAATTGAGAAAATTATTTTTGTTTTTTTTCTAGGTATTAGGACCAAAATTTATGGAAAATAGGAAACCATTTAACTTAAAAAATATGTTAATATATTATAATTTTGCCCAAGTCGTTTTTAGCGTATGGATTTTTTATCAGGTGAGTGTTTTTTTACGTTTATAGGTTTAATTTAAAAACAGTTATTATAGTTAACTAGCTTATTACTTGCATATACAATTTTAGTATTATTTATATGGTAACAACCACAAAAACAAAACAATTAAACTCATTATTGTTGCGCTAGACATTATTACTAAGTTTATGATGTTCAAAAACGAAATACCACATTAAGACAGATCCGACTAACAAATGTTCATAAAAAAAACCAATTGAACAAGCCATGCACAAATATCTAACTACAAAAACCAACAAAACATACAGAATACATTAAAGCAACCATTAATTATTAGCTCTCTTCTCAAATGAATCAATATAAAGACTATGTTAGCTATAGACCAGGCCAGACAAGATTAGTCACATAGGACGCACTAGTCATAACTGAACTAACAACTCCTTTATTACTCCTGCAATCGAACAGAACAGATATTATCATGAAGGATGTGGTATAACAGTGAGTCTTCTTCGGAAGGCATTAAGATAGGAATGCTTATCAAAAATGTAAACAAAAAGCTTAGCTAAGTAGTAGGCAAATATATCTCCAGATTGCAAGAAGAGATTTACGTATAGAACTACTAGATCAATATTATTGTCAAAGAGCCAGGTCATATGAAGAAATCAGTCGAGGCCGGCATGAAACTACATCGAAGAACTAAAAACACCGGAGAAAACTTAATAACTATTGGACAAATATCCAAAAACAACCAAATGTGGAACATGCATGGGAGGACTATGTTCTCCCCACGAAGATGAAAACTTTCTATGCATATAAACCAGTTAAGAATAATAATAATAATAATAATAGAACTCATAATGCGATCGGCCATGATGGACTGTTGCGTAATGAGCCGCATAGTTGCATACCGTAGTGGACAGGCGTTATATAAATGAGTACGAGGTATAGTGTGGGGTAGGCACATACTTTGATTACTATATGGTGCAAGAGAGAGGTCCGACACGCCCAACATAGAGCGCGGCCATTTTGATGTCTTTACCACAGTTTATAGCTAAAGAATCAGTTCGCTCACTCTGCGTCGGCACTTTTGATCTCAATGTTCCAGTTTATAGGGACCGTGCGTGAAATATAGAGGCAGCACTACTGCCGAAGTTAGCCCTCTCTAGTGTTTAATTTTAGAATTAAATGGGGTAAACATTGCAAGTAAATAATAAAGAATATTTTTTAAAATATTAAATATAGTTAAATATAGATACCGGCCCGTACCAAACAATCGGGTACATGGTCAAAATGATATAAAATGTAAAACATTAAAATCTGGACATGTATAAACATTTTAAGCAAAAAGATTTATATGGCTAATTGACAATAAATTGTAAAGTTGTACCTTAAACAAGTGTATCCAATGTCAAAATATCGGTATTTAGTAACACTGAATTTAAAAGTATTACAATAACATTTAAAAAATGTAAATTAATAAAAAAGATTGGGAATAATAATAATTCTTTTTAGATTTATGTTAGTCGAAATGTTATTCATCCACTGACGTTTATGAGACGCCCAATGATATACATATTATAGATTGCTCACCCATCTATAAAAAAATTACGAAAAGCGGGTTGCAATGTGCCTTTCCTAGTGCTCACTAAAATAGAGCCGTTCTAGCCCAAATGTGTTTTAATATAAAATTTCAGTATTTTAATCTTTAGAAAAAGAAAATAATTAAAGTTTTACTTCAAGACACGTTATTATGTATTTGGAAAGTTGAGTTTCCATGTAGTTAAATAATATTAAGAGATCTAAACAATTTTTAAAACAGATGGATATAAATAATTTTAGACTACTCTCATTTCAGAAATTACACTACATAAAATACATAATTGCAATATGTAATACAATTTTGAAAAGGAAATGTAAACAACTTTGATATGAGATATAAACAACTTTGGTGAGAGTTGTAATTGGACACATCTATTATTCTGAATAATGTTTAATGGTAATGTCACTAAAAAAATTTACAAAAATCACTGGATTTTTAATATTTTAAAGTTTGTTGCAGTCTCTTTTGATAGTACTTGTAATGTACGTATTATTTATGATTTGTTTATTTTAGTAATAAATGAGAAATAGTTAATAAATTGTAAAGAGGGCTATGATATTTTTGTCAAATTGGACATACTTATTTCATAGTAACATTCTACGTTAGTTTTAATCAACAGAATAAACCATTAATTATCTGTAAAATTATATTTATATAAAATGTTCATTTAAATATGTAAAAATCTTAATGACAATAAAACACTAAAGACTCCAATTTCTAAACCGGTTCTGTAAATGCTCAAGTGCTCAAAATTGATACAAAGCTAGATAAAAAAAACTTTGCCCAGTGAAATACGCTTTTCGTCATCTGATTTATATATGGATAAGCAATCTATGTAATGTAATTATGTATATCATTGGGCGTGAGACACAATTCTGCTCTGTGAAAATTTATAAAATTTCTTTACTATTGAATGAAATCCAGGTTTCCAAAGTAATGTGTTCGTACATCCATGGATGCAACAAGTTTTTTCGATAATGATATTACGAAAATAATTCGACTTTATTTAATTAATAATTATTAAAAAATAAATGCCATATAAAATATTAATAAATACCCCCCATAAAGTTCAAATTTTTTTCACCAGTTAGCGTTAAAGTCTTGACGCACGGTCCCTATACACTGCGTAACTCGGATAATACAAAATATGACAACCGCCTATAATAAAACAGCAGTCTTCTGCGCATCCTGAATTTGTATCCCTGGAGTCACAGAAGAAAGAACACTGGAGTGGATGTTATTTTGGAACTTTCAACTGGTCCGAGTGAACTAACTAATTCTTTAGCAATAAACGGTGACTCCAAAAATAATATTCACTGACACTGACAGCAGCAAGCAAAATATCAGGTGCGTTTTAATCATCCGCTTCTGCTTCCGGAATTGTCGGTTTAGTCGTTTTAACCTGTCAGATTAACACAAGAAAACCGACAATTCCGAAGCAGAAGCGGATAATTAAAACGCACCTATTAAATATATTGCGCCAAGATGTAGGCAACACGTAATAAAGCATCAATATGGCAGAGTTTTCTATCTCCTTTTAAAAGGCACTCAGAAAGCTGCGCAGTGCGACCATTCTCCGTATAGTAAGAGAAAATCAAAGTATGTGGGGGTAGGTCATCTTTCAGAGGAGATGTAAAGTTGTTGCTACCTAGTCCATGGATGTAAATGTTATTTTTGTGCGTTTACGTCTACGTTAACGTACTGCAAACACTTCAACTCTCTATTGTAGTAGCTTCTAAGTGCACAAATTTGTCTTGATTTTTTTTGTCATGATTAAAAAAGGCTGTCATAAAAAGCTTCCAAAAATAAAAAGCAAACTCGTTAACAATATAATAACCGCGCTTATAATAAATAGCAATTATAACAGTTTTTGGCGCGTACACCACTAGCCTAATTTAAAAGGCCCTTACCTGGAAGGCTGGGTGGGCTTAGCCAATTAATAGGCGCAAAGTGTTGTATGTTTTTAGGTTTGTTCCAACAGTAGTACAGAACCGTTCTCAATTTATCTGCGCATGAGTAGTACGAAGCTAACGATGCTAACTATAAAATGGCTTAAAACAATGGAAAGCGAAATGCAGTCACTTAAATTAAATGAAACCTGGACTCTAACAATTTTCCAAAAGGTAAAAGAGCAATTCCTTGCAAGTAGATGTATAAAGTTAGTAAAGATGGTGCCGTTGACAAGTTAAGGCACGATTGGTCATCAAGGAATGCTCTTCACAAAGGAAATGTATTGATTATGGCCAAAATTTTAGTCCTGTTGTAAAGATTGCAATGATAAGAGCTTTATTAAGCATTTCTGCCATCTAAAAGATGTCCCTAACCCCGTTCATTGTCCTATAATAGTAAACTAGAAGAAAATGTATACATGAGACAACTTGAGGGTGATAAAGATGGGAGTAAACGAGTTTGTCACTTACAAAGAAGCTTATATGGTCTAAAACAAACACATCATTGTTTTATTAAAAGGTTTGTAGATCAAATTACTAAATTAGGATTCAAAGGGAGTGAAAGGCAGGCTCAACAAATTAACATTTAAGTCATCTATGTAGATGATGGTCTCTTAGCATCTAACGACGAGCAATTGGAAAAATAATTTTTGGAAGACCTGAAAAAATAATTCAAAATTAAAGACAAATTTGGATCGATTCGAATCAGCCAGTCTTCTATACAAGAAAATTGTTGGACAGAGGTAAGGATGTTGCGATACTGGTATCGAAAAGAGTATCAGATCCAAAGTATCGATACCGGTATCAAAAGGGTATCGGAACCAAAGTGTCGATACCGATGTCGGGAAGAGTGTAAAACAACCAAAAAAAAAAAGGTCATATGGTAAGCCGACGTACCATAAAGTGATCCTCCTACAATACACTATTTATATGCATTGTAATGGCAAAACTAGTAAAATATTGTAAAGAAAGTAGTGGTATCGAAACAAAAGTAGTATCGATATAGGTAAAGTATCGAAAGCCAAGTATCGGATACTAAATTACCCGGTATAGAAATAAAAGTATCGATACCAGTATCATATCAGTAGTATCGCAACATCCCTAGACAGAAGCAGTAGGAGCCCTTATGTACCTCATCACAGGTACACGTCCTGACCTAGCCTGTGCAGTCAGTGTTGTCTCAAGAAACCTTGAGAAAACGTTTAACAGATACTTTGTAAGGGTCAGGAGGATTTTTCGATAAATCAAGAGAATAAGTAGCTATGGTATTAAATAAGAATGCTTTAGTGAGGCAGATCATGGCGAGGATGAACTCACTGGACGTTTAACGTCTGGAGCATTGTCTACCTTTGCAGGAGCCGCTGTATCTTGGCACAGCCAGAGACAAAGTTCAGTGGCCATCTTCACAACTGAGACAGATATAGTAGCTACTAGTTAGGCATCAAGAGAGTTGGTTTGGCATAAAAGATTTTATGATGAAATAAGACCCTTCAAAGAAATACCAGTGTTCCACAAAAGAACCCAGCACATCAGGATTAGACATTTCGTTGTGCGAGAATTAGTTCTGAAGGGTGCTATGCATACCCAAAAAATTTCAGCAGTACATCAAGTCGCGATTTGCTGACGAAGGCTTTGTTCAAACCAAGATTTGAAACTCTTCGAAAACTCAAAGGATTGGTTGAAATTACTTAACGAGGAAACGTGTTAGAGTATGTTATTTATATATCTACATTACAGTAATTTTAGTAGCTCGGTATATTTAGCGTACTTTGATTTTATATAGTAAAGTTTTACTAACAAATAGTTTTTTTATGTCTTTAAATAAAATTTATAATTTATTTAATATTATTACAATCATTTTGGTTTTACTGTACATAAATGTGGGTAGTAATCTACTTTAATAAGAAAAACAGTTAAATAACTGTACTACTCATGCGCAGATAAATTCAAAACGGTTCTGTTGGAACAAACCTATTATTAAGCTGTGGTTCCCACCATCAAAGACCGTGATAGCAAACTTTTAACTTGATCTAATTTTTATGTTGTTCTTATTATTCTTTACATATTACAATTTTACGTATGTTTGTTATAGATTGGAATGGGAGGTTGGTTTACAGGAGAATATAGTTTAAGGTGCCAACCAGTAGATTATTCTAATAAATCAAGTACAATAAGAGTGAGTTTTTACAAATTTCTCTCATAAAATTGTTATTGACGTTATTTTTTATTATAGATGGTGCACGCATCATGGTGGTACTATTTCTCGAAATTCACAGAATTTATGGACACAGTAAGTACAATTAACAAAACAAAAATATGTTATTACATATCTTACATTTTTTACATTATTTGTATACTATTTATTTAAACGTGGACAATCTAAGCCAAATCTATTAGACACGAGCATAAGTTGGATTGGGGCGGAAGTCGTACGTATCGTGCTCTCAGTATTCCTCGCTGGTTAGTGGTCTTTGTTTGTTACACACATTGTCATATTATACCTTTTCCAATTATTCATTGTAAAATGAATGGTCCGCGTTTAAATTTCCGTACCGGGTACCTAATTCTTACGACGAAATTCTGTCACTTGACAACGTTCTCTCTTTATCTAACATATGAAATATTTATGTTTTATCTCAGCTGTGTGTACTGACTTTTAAACAGTCACTAAACAATAGCATATGCAGATGACCTGGTCATTCTGCAAACAGGTAATTTTAAGAACATACTCTGCGAAAGAATGCAAGTAGCTCTAAAAATTATAGAACAGTGGGGCAAGGACCATTCACTGTCTATCAATCCTAAGAAGACATAAATGGTCCTTTTTACAAGAAAAATGATGAATTACCTAGGTTTCTCCTCTGACAGCAAGTTAACATGGAACTTGCACTTAGAAAACAGTTAAAAGAGCATACATTGCTTATGAACAATGCCGCCGAACCATGGGGCGCACCTGGGGTTTCTCCCCCAGAGTCGTTGCATCAACTTACACGGCTATCATAAGACCTATGCTAACATACGGTGCAGTTATCTGGGTACCGAAAACCCAAAAATTAACAGCTATCCGTAAACTAGAACCAATTCAAAGGACAGCATGTCTCAACACAACAGGAGCCATGAAAACAACACCGACCAGAGCCATGGAAGTCATTCTTAGTCTCACTCCCCTTGATATTTACATCAAGGAGGTTGCTCTGACGACAATGACACGCCTCCGCACGGTTGGAATAGAACCTGATGTAAGATCTGGTGAAGCGAGACGTCACTTTTGGCAGGAGGTGCTCGATACGTTCCCACTGCTTCAAGCGACCATGGACTCCATCTCACCGAGATATATCTTCCGTAAGCCATATAAAGTTATAATAGAACAAATAGTTGTCAGAAGTGGCAGGTACGATTCATATCTACACCGACGGTTCTAAAACAAAACAAGGCTCAGGATGTAGAATATACTCCAGATTCTTAAACCTAAACATAAAATGGGATGTGAGCAATAGTGCTAGTATAGTTCAAACAGAGCTAACGGGGATTCTCATAGCAGCAAAAGAAATAACCAGAAACAATATCACTGGAAGGAACATGCTCATCTATACAGATAGCAGACAAGCACTACTCGCCCTGAACAGACCACGAATTAACTCAGGGTTAGTAGTAGAATGTCACGAAGCTTTGGCCGAAGTGTCCATCAACAATGTGGTCACTTTAAGATGAATTAAAGGTCACGCCAAATCGAAAGTAAACCGTCTTGCTGATTCACTAGCCAAGAAAGCAGCCAACCAAATACTTTTTGGACCTGGTCCTTCTATTGGCCTGACAAAATCGGTAGTGACAGACCTAATTAAAGAACATTCCCTTGTGAAATTCAAGGAAAGATGGGATGAAACAAGTAAATGCAGAGTTGCCAGGGAGTTCTTAAGTTATTCTGACAAGACTGCAGCAAAAAAATACTTGATTATGACCAGACAGAATCTGCGTCTAGTCACAGGCATTCTGACTGGTCACTGCCAAATACAGAAGCATCTCCATATCATGTGGTTGTCTACAGTGAGTGCGAACAAGAAGATGAGACTATCGAGCATATCCTTTACGATTGCTCGACGCTCTCATTTATTAGAAGATTTGTGTTCGGCGAGTATCACCCAACTAACAAAGTAGCTTTATAATTTTTAGTTTATAAGACTATTATATTTTATTGATATTATATTGCTGTGTCTGGAATGGTAATTTATTGTATTTCAGTTGCAGAAATCACTATTTTGTTCTCTGAAACTAAATTGTTATATAAATTAGTTTTAACAATATTCTTACAGCAAAATTATAAAATAGTTTTCACGATAACTATAAAATTGTTACGTAAACATTTATACAACTGTTCTATACAATATTTCAGCTTATAAAATAAAATTGCTTTATAGTTATTCTATATTATTGTTCTGGATTACCTTTAGAACTTTTTGGTTATACAAATATAACTGTTTCTTAACCTCATAATAACGCTTTAAAAAATAGTTATATAAATATTAGTGTGAGATAATTCCGCATCAATAGCAATTTGCTTCTGATGAAAACTCTAAAATAACTGTAATATATTGTCGAAATACACTATTACAAATCAGAAAACTGTATAGCAATTATTTTAGTTAAGAATAGTATTATCACTTTAAAAATATTTATAAAAAAAAATAAAGCAACTACATTTGGTAGTACCTACGCCAGATTATTTTGTATTTTATGTTCGTTCAACTACTTCCCATACCAATTGTATGTGAGTGTATGGTCTGAAAATGTCAGATATAAATAGTAAAGAAATATAAAAAATAAGTGGTACCTGCTTTTCAGAGAACAGTACAAAATATTAGTAAAACATTTTGCTGGTTTGTCTAGACACTCAAAAAAAAACTATCATTCAGCCAGATAATAATTAGGTATGTTCTGAATAATCATGCCCCAATACTAAAAGAAAGCCATATTTTTGGCGATGTCCATGTTAAACTTGCTTATTCTCGTAATATTAAAAATTATGCTTGCTCTATAAAGCTGTAGAAACAAATCTAATCATTTCAATTCTCAAATACTTAAATCGGAAATGATTTAGTAAGGTTATGTTATATTTTGTCATATAGTGCAGCAATATGAAACTATTATACAACAAACCATGATGAACTTGTTTTGTAGAAATGAGTAATACAACTTAATTATTGTATTACAGCTGTTTTTACTACAATAATATTTTATAATTATGATTCAGTCTTAAAATAACTTTCTAATACCACTGAATAGCCGCCATATTTAACAAAAACCTAAGACAGTTTTAAAGCTAAATCTACTGTCGGTTTTACTAGTATTTAAGACAAAACCAATGTTAATTAAAGATTTTAATCATTAGTCATATTAGCATAATCTTATTACTAAAAAAAATCTAATTGCATTAATTTAATTTTTGTTTCACACTGAAAAAGTATTAGAAATATGTATCAAACTCGAGGCGCTTAAAAATTTAGTATTGTATTTGCTATATAATTAACAGTAATTCTTGCTGCGTATCCAAAAACGCTTTATTGTAGGTCATACATTATGTCTAAACCGCGTCATAGATATCTCTTAAGTAGATACTGCCATTTTACTAATATCGCCTTGAATTTACTTTCATGACAAATATAGAATTAATTTGTTTTCGCCAGATACATTTAAAAAACTAAAATGTTACTGATTTTGATATGCAACCTAACCTCAAAATTGAAAATTTATAAAACAGTTATAAAAGTTTAAAAAAACATTTGTTTAAAGTCTGTGTAAATGTGTAGTAACTGTTCGGTAACTGCATTCAACAAATCTTATAGAATTTACAAAAGAACCAAATAGTTCTGTAATACTGCGCCCATTTTGTGTTTATTACTGTTGAAAGAATGTTCCGGAAATGTTCTTAGCTAATATTCTATTTTATAAATTTGGTTCTGTAAACATTTTTTCAGCTTTTATAAAATATCAAATTGTTACTTGGGCAGCTAATACCGGCCGATATAAGACCTCTTAGCGACGTTGTCAACTACATTAAATCTGTAGGCTAGGAGATCCCTATCATCTTAGGAGGATCCACAATGGGTCTAATTGCCGTGGGGGTAACTCACTCTTCACACGATTTTTATAGTTTTAAATGTACATTTTCTAACCTTGAATATTTTGTATTGTTAATTAAAACTATTGTAGGCATGTTCACAAGTTTGTTACAAACATTATTTTTTTAACACATTTTTCAAATTTTTTTGACCTATTAATTTTGTTCCATTTGTTGGTTTTTAATGGTCCATGCCTCCAATTTAAATAAACAATTAATTTCATTGCAGTAGACCCTTAATTTATACAATATGTCACAAATCGGCTATTTTTTCTCAAATTATCGTAGTCTGTGTAAGGGTGCCTTAAGTAGATAGTATCCGCTACAGTTGTGAACTGTAGTAACTAAGTGGTGAATCTTGCCGAAAGTCTTGCTGATTGATTAAAAGGTGTTGTGGAATGCAGAAATGAAAGTACTTTTCTGCTAATAATAACTGATTTTATTTTATCTTCTTAAACTTTGAATTCAGTAACTACATAACAGACAGTTGATTAATGAAAATATTTTTACATAAAATACTGAAATCTTTTATGAATATATCATTTGTTTTAATGTTAAATTTGCGAGTATTTCGCGTGGAGGATGGTTTTGTTCTTTATCTCTTTGAGGTTCAAATAGTTCTCAACTAGAAAACTGTCTTGTAGTGGCGAATCTATGTCTCTTATTAACATTGTCTTGTCGTGTCGAATCTAAAAGTCAATCCTTGATACTATCTTGTGATTTATACCAAGTTCTCTGGGTGTGAATTAAATACACTCCGCATAAAAATTATCCCATCACTATTATTTCTAAATATTTTGGCCATGTACTTTTTTAAAAATATTTTTTTTTTGGTTTAATTTATATTGAACCTTTGTAATTACATAAATCATAAATAAAATTTCTCATTTTAAATCACAGGGTAAATAAAGAATACCAAAAACGGACATAATAGAATTTATATTGCCTTCGTTTCAAAAACTAAATTCTTCGAAAAATGTGAAATTTTTGAAAAATACAATTTTCTTATTATCTTGTATTGCCTCCTCTTGCCTTTAACAGCCTCCATTCGCCTTGGTAAGCTTTCAAAAAACCTATGTATGTATTCTTGCTCCATGTTGTTCCATATTTCGTTTATTGCATGTTGAAGCCTATTAAGGGTTCTGAATGGAGCTTGACGGTGCTGCATCGCCCAACCTAAGTGGTCCCATACGTGCTCTATCAATGAGGTCTAGGCTGCGAGCTGGCTAATTCAATGTAGCAATATTTACCTCATCAAGATATTTTTGCACTATCCCGGTAGCGTGTGGTCTGGCGTTATCGTGCATTAGCACAAAATTTTCGCCAAAAAAAGGACCGTATGGAACCACATGAGGTTCTAGAATATCCCTTATGTATCAATCAGCCATCATCCTACCACCATTAATAGCTACTAACTTCGTTCGCCCATGAAAAGATATTCCTTTCCATACCATTATTGACCAAATCTGTCCCTTTCACGAAAGTTGCATTGGTAATGTCGATCGCTTGGTCTTCGGTATACTGGCATAGGTACGTCTGTCTGAAGAGAACAAACAAAACCTGAAATTGTCTGTAAAGAGAATATTGGACCATTCTTCTACACCCCATCTAGCAAATTGTAAACGGCAAACTCGATGTTCTCTGGTAAGACGCGGACCATTGGCTGGAACCCTTGCACGTATATCATGCACTCGAAGACGATTACGTACGGTTTGTATGCAAATCTGAACATTTCTGGCAGCTAAAAGGTCATTCTGGAGCATTCGAGCAGTGCAGTGTCGTGTTCTTAGGGCTGAAAGTCGTAAAAAGCGATTATCTAGAGCTGTTGTAACTCTAGGACGACCTTGGCCCTCTCTTCTAGAGTAGCGTCCAGTCTCTCTATGTCTTTGAAAAACTCTTGAAATGGTACTCTGTTTATCTGTTTATCAGTAAAAATGCCCATTCAGGGAATACTTAAGAAATTTTAAAAATAAATTTACTGTAGCCAAAATATTTAAAAGCATTGGTGATACGATAATTTTTGTGCGGTGTATAGATCTGTGAGTGGAACCAAGTCAAAATATTAAAGGAAATACTCATTTGACTCGCCTACATGTTACAAACACGTGCTTAACATTTTAAAATGTGAAGTTTTAAAATCAGGTTTCGATGTAAAATAGGGATGTTTTCCCTATTTAGGACACAACCTCATATTCTATGTTGTTTAAGCAAAATCTTGACAATTTTTACATTTCTATTTTGACGAGTAAATCATTTAATTTTGTAAAACAAACTTTAGTTTACCTTTAGTTTATAAAATGTTTCCCAAATTTTGAATATTATATTTACTTTTCAGATATTTTTTGTTCTGAGAAAGAAGAACGACCACATATCTACTTTGCATGTTATCCACCACGGCATAATGCCAATGTCTGTATGGTTTGGCGTCAAATACACCCCAGGTAAGCATCGGTATTTTTTGTACTTCTAAACCTTATAGACTAAATTTTTACTTTACTTTGTTGAGCAACTACGGCTCTATTGTTATCGACCCTTTTATTTCTTATTTCCATATTATCCGTCACCATTGCCTGAAGTCTATCGTGCCATGAAAATAAGTTTGTATAAAACACCGTCACTCTAAATTTCCTTAGAAATATTTTTTCAAATATTTATTTAATACAAGATGTCTCAAAGGCATAGGAACGTTTTATAAAACCTTATACTAAAAAAATATGTGTGCCTTACTGGGCGATAATATTATATTCGGCATTTAAAACGTTTAATGAATGAAAATATCAACTATGCACCCATAAATTTTGATAAATTTTTCTTTACCAAACCTATTAGTATGATTAATTTGCAATCAGTACTTTTTTGTACCTTCGTGGATGTTAATTCACATAATTTTCTGATTGCTCACTATAAAGATTTGGTTTTCCTTCTTATTAGCAATGAGAAACGATGTCCAGAATGTTTCCTCTACAGCTCTAGCTTGGATGACAGCTTCATCTGACTTAGAGTAGTATTTTTGAGTAATTCACTGATAAAGGCATCTCTTATCTAAACTAGCCCAAGAATTTTAATAGTTTTATCAAATTTTTGATATTCACTGATGAATTATAATACAGAATATGAGATCCACTAAGACGACAGCTTCACACTATTACTATATGGACCATTTTGTTACTTTGATATTGCAAATTGGCAATGCTACTATTTTATATCTTCTGTAACTATTTTGTTCCTTTTATAAACAATGATTCCTTTATTTTTCTAAAAAGATTTTCTGATTTTTTCAGGTGGCCATAGTACATTTTTCGGTTTTCTCAACACCTTTGTCCATATCATCATGTACAGCTACTACATGCTAAGTGCTATGGGTCCTCATATGCAGAAGTACCTTTGGTGGAAGAAGTACCTCACCGCGCTTCAAATGGTAAGTCGAATAAAAGTGATTGTAAATTATAAATAGGTATTGAAAAGAAGTGATTTTTTTTCTATTCGCTGGTTTTTGTGATGTTATATTATGTTGAGAATGGGGTGTTAATACACTGCGACCTAAAAGATCTATTGTGCCCCCTTCTGTCGCTAATACAGCAAGGAAATGTCTCAATGTCTATAACGACCCTTCCAATCCTATCTTCTCAAGGAAATGTAGGATTTGGAGTGGCTTAAGTTAGGTAAATCTCCCTCTTCTATTTGATATGCTCCTAGGTATAGTGCCCTTGGATTCTGGAGATAGAATGTGAATGAAGGTTTCGTCCTTCTTCTCACAGAATCTGCACTCACTATCTTCTACTACTCTCAGTTTACTAAGGTGTAATTTTAGTTGGAAATGCCCACTAAGGATCCCTTTTACAATATGTAGCCTGTTCTTGTTCAGGCAAATGCAGGCTTCCGATCTTTTCTGGTTATATTCACCCTAAAGTATCTTAGCCTGTCTCAGCCCCAAGAGATTGTTCCAATTATCGGTTCTTCTACTGCCCAATTCTTTTTTATTCTCTCCTAATATTATGTTACTGCTGATACCGCAGAACGGCTCAGGGTCCCACAAAAGTTGTTTGATCCCCTTTCCTTGCGAGACTATATGCAATCTCGTTATCCTATACCCCGTTATGTCCCGGGACTAAAGTGAGAGTAACTCTTGTTTCTCGCCTAGCTCATTCAATTGTTCTAGGTATCTCCAGAGCATTTTTGACCTGATTACGTAAGAGCTCAGCGCATTGATGGCTGCTTGGCTATCGAACATGATAATCTCTTGTCTACGGTAGTTTCTCTCGATGTTAAACTGGATACACTTCTCGATGGCGTGAATTTCCGCCTGGAAGATGCTTGGGTATTTTCTCAAGTTTTCGGAGTGCTTGATTCTCGGCCCATACACTCCTATTCCAGTTGGAACCATCCATATACCACTGAATAGCATGTCTTTCGGTTGGAAGCGCTATGGATTCTTGGCTCCATTCTTTTTTGCAGCTCAGCTCTGTGGGTTTGAAGTTTTTCACAAGACTGTACTTCTTTATCATTTTATCCTGAGGCATATCCCAGGCATCCTTGTTCCTGAAGCAAGTAGACTTTCGTCTTATGATGTACTCCTTGTGTAATTTTACCTGATGATTCCTGAAATCTAGAAGTTGTCTGAAACGGTTTATGTGCTCGATTCAAGTATATTATAGTTTACAAAATTATTTCTTTTATATTTGTAGATCGTGCTACACAATGTGCTTACATTTTTAAAACAATTTTTATATCAGAAAATAATATTGCACATTACGACAATCTCTTAACTAATGCTGAAGTGAGCTAGTTCAAAGATATTACAGCACTTAATTTAAAAATGACTTTCCAAAGATTCTTTCTATCTAGGATCGGATCAATTACTGTTATGTAGTGTGATATCGGGTGTTATAACTGATCGAGCACCTGAATGAAAGTTGGCTAACTAGTTACCTCCGATGTTTTGAATAATACTATGTTACCAAGGGCTCGTGCCTGCACAGAAGCGTATTCAGTATGTACATACGGTTAAAAAGATGTATGTTTGTAGCAAGTTTATTGATCAATGTAAACTAGTTGACAGATGATTGTCTTGTCTGGCATGACCCTAATAGCACAGTATTGTTTCACGAACGTTCCAGAAACATGCACTTGGGACATTAGAAACGTCTTTGTCATGTTTATTATTTTCCCTCAAACGTACCTGGGATGTTTCTGGCAATAACCATGTCATCATTTGTAACGTATTAGAAACGTTTCACAGATACTTTTGTGGAACATCCTGCGATGTTGCTCAAATGTCCTAGGCAAGAATTTATACCACTGCTGGAACGTTTCAGAAATGACCTAAACGATTTTTTAGTAGGATAATAAAATCTATTACTTCTATTCATAAATTTATTTAAAAAAAAATTGACAAAAAAATAAAAATTGTTATTTATTACGCTTTGATTCAGTGCGTCTATTTCTTTCCGGAGCCCTCTACAACCGGACATCTATTTTAATTTCTATTTATTTTTTGTTTACCAATTTACCGAATCTGAAAATGTTTTAATTAAATGAAAATATAAACAATTGATATTAAGTTAAAATAATTACCCATAATGGCTTTAGCTATTTTTAACTTGGCGACTTCCTGTTTTCCAGTGCATGAAAACAACTTACACAACTCGTACCTTGAGGCGAGCTATGCATCTTCTGATAAATTCACACACAATATTGCTACCTTGGATTTCAAAATACAATACCTAAAATAGACTAGAATGTATAAAAGTCACATTTTGTTAAAGGAAATTAAGTTACCTTCTTCATTTTGGCTTGAATAGCTTGCACGTATAACGATTGTTTCTACATTTGCAAAGCCTGATCAAACTTCGAATTGGAAGTGATTTTTCATGTAGCCCTCAGAAATTCACAAACTATACACTTCAATCCGGCCTCCTATTATCACTTTTAGTTTATTTAAAAGTTTATAGAGAAGTTGTTTATTATTTTTAAACTCATCCAAACTTTATTACAAGCGAGGCCAAACACCATTTTATTTTCAACTGTCAACACGTGGTCAACATTAATGAAATGTCTGTCATATGTCAATTGTCATTGGATCTATTATACGGTAGGCGTGTTCCGTTATTACTCCAACGTTTCTTTAGACACATCGTAGGGATGTACCATTTATGTCAGAAACATAGAAACATACATGGAACCTAAATGAGATGTTTCTGGCAGATCGGTGTTATTAGAAGATTTGCAGGATCAAGCTTTTTGGCGGCGACGCCTGGGAATAGGGACATGAAAAAGAGTTCATACGAAACTAGGCTAGTTGTACTGATAATTTCAAGCTACACTGTATAAACAAAGACTAAAGTACCAATTTTTTATTTTAGATTCAATTCGTCGCCATCATGGTTCACGCATTCCAGCTACTTTTCACCGAATGCAATTATCCACGTGCTTTTGTTTGGTGGATCGGCATGCACGCCGTTATGTTCTTCTTCCTCTTCAAAGAATTCTACAACCAAACGTACAACAGAAGGCATCGACTAGCCGCCAAAGCTGCACAAAATGGTGTTCAAAACGGCCTTAAACAGAACGGCCACGCTTCCAAATCGTACGCCAACGGCCATCTCAACGGCCATCTCAAACACGATGAAAAACAAAATGGCGTCCAAAACGGCGTCACGAAAGTTAGCGAATATTACGTGAATGGATCTTCGGAGATCCACCAGAGGATAAGATCATAGTGATATTAGATAATTAGGGTTTCTAGTTAATTCCAATTTTTGAGATGGACAATTTACTTAATTTAATTATTCATATGTTGAATGAATGAATTGGAAGGGGATTCGTTTGTTACTGTTTTTGATGCTACTATTAAAGATTAATAGGAATTTAGCTGAACCTTTTTTAAGTTAGCACAGTATTTATTAAGGCCGTGATAGCCTCGAAAACTATGTAAAAACGTCATGAGTGTTTAAAAATACTTTAAATTAAATTTAGACCTAGATAAAAAATCTTAAATGTACCTACTACATAAGTATATTTAATAATTGACCAATTTAGTTACCCTGATTGCCATACCTATCTAATCAATTTTGAAAAGTGGTTGCAATTTTCTACCAAATACTTAAGACCGGTGTTTTCCGAAATATCTACTAATTACAGCTAATTGGCATGTATTAATATCTGCTAATCATATTTAGTCATGGTTTATTGATACTTAGAATCAAAAAGCTTAATGGTTAATTAGCATTTTTTTAGGTATTAATTAGGAATGTTAAATACAACTACTTAGTTGATTAGAATAACTATTTTTTTAGAAATGTCAATTATAAAATAGCTAGGTATGAGGCATTTTGGATTTACTTTAATAAAGAATCTATTAGGTGAAGGTTTAGTGTTAATTATCTATTAATTAAAAAAAAATAGTTTAGAACAAACGAATTAAACGAAGTTCAAAACATTGTATTGGAGAAAAAATAAATTATAGAGGAAGTTATGAAAGTAGACATATGTTTTTGTTGTATTGATGTTCTGTTAAAAAGGAATAGCTTATAAACTAATAAGATGTCCTTTTGTAACATTTGTTAATTGCTGATTGAAGGATGTTAATTAGGGTTATAACAAAGGCTTTAATCTAATAATGTAACCTGAGTGTTAAGGCTGTAAAAGGGATCTCGTGTTGATTTTTTTAATTAAACATTCCTTTTTTGTTTTCTTTTTAACAGAAATATAAACAAAAAAATGCTGAATACAGTGTCTTCTAAAAACAGGGAATTGATTATTTTTCAATAAAAGTCTGAAAATTTAAACTGTCAGTCAGTCTGTCATTTTATCTTATAGACTTTTATTAGGGGATACTGTATATATGTTTGATATTATGAAAACGGAGCTCTTCTGGGGAATATAAGTTTATTTTAAAGTTGAATTCTTTTGCAACATCGAACCACTATTATTTACAATTACAAAGAAGAAAATCGTAATTCGAAAAATGCTGTTTTTCAGAAAACGCGTTCAAATCTTATAAGGTTAGTTAAATATGTTTGCAGATAAATTACACTTTGGAAATCAATAATTTTTTAGCACTTTCTTTTGGTCAATCAATAAGTATCAAATAAAAGTTATTGAAGCCCAAGGCAAGCTTCTTATATCTTCAGCAGGGTCTTTTCGAAACAGATCTAGTAGGGGAAGTTTGTTAAAAGAATTCAACTTTGAAACGCTTTTGCTAGTATTTGATGTATACCTACGTGCTCAAGTCGTTGTTTGTTTTTATTAAAAACTCGGCATACCACTTACGTTAACAAATCCAAAAATAGTGCCATTTTCAATTTTCCGTATTCTCAAACCCTTTTCACGTTGACAAATTTTACAATTTATCAGTGTGACCGCTGCTTTATAAATCGCGAAAGCCGCTAATAATAGTCACTTAGTAATAAATCAAAAAGTTGCTATACTGTGTTTGTAAAAATTTAATCTAGAATTAAGTGGTATTAAATTAATACGCACAAAAATAGTTTTCCATTTTTAATTGTTTTTGTTTCGTCACTGTTCAAAGTGCCTTTTTAGACGTAATGAAAAAGATTTTTAGCTTCAATAGAAGGTATATTGAAATTCAATATGCTTTTTATTTTATTGTTGTTTTAATTAAATAGGTATGGAGGTTATTTTAAGATAATTTTTATTTTGTAATTGATTTTAAGAACTGTCAGTTACGCTCAATTATTAATTCGTCAATTATGTCGAAACTGTGTCAATTAAAAAGTAAATTTTTATAATTGACAACTATTTGTGTCATATTTGACTTTGAGAAATTAAGGCGTTTAGCACCGACCACGGTGTAACTATAAGATATTTCAAGTCATGGCTGAAATTGATCACGTTTACCACTTGAAAACATACACCAAACATCTCAATTTGCAGGTGTATTCTAAATTACAGAAAATAAAAACCTGATGTACATATATATTTTTCAGGTTCGTTGCAATCCATGTTTTCTCCATTATCTTTGTCCAAATCATCACTAGCATAAGAAATGTGTACTGGAAATGTATTTTACCTTCTATATAAGTAGTGTAGCTAAATATAACTCTCTAAATTTTCCTTGACAACCATTTCACTTCTTCTAACAGTGATTTATTATAGGTTAAAAGTACGCCTAGTAGGTTTTAAAAGAAGAATCACTTAGAATATTAGAAACCATAGCAATTACAATAAACGTACTTTGTTGACTATTCTGTTTTTCATCTTCCGTTTCGATAGTCTGATTCGATTACATTGATTTTGATATTTTATGAATTTTTATAAATTTACTTGAGAAAAGCTAAAATAATTTGATTTGCGCTATTACACTATTGCGTGTGGGTAAGATGGCGAGGTACCTCTACAAAATAATAAAAATAATATGACAGAAATACAGTTTAATAATAAAACAAGACCACATCTTAAATTAAGATTCTTTTAAGATCAATGCAATACATTGAGCATGTGCCCAAAGTTTGCCGTTAAAACACTGAAACCAAAGCTCTTTATCTTTGCCTATGTTCCCACATAATAAGCAAGTTTTGTCACCTTCTTCGGGATCCATATCATCATCTGTGTCAACATAGGTTATTTTGGTTGAACTCTAAGAATCGGAAGAATCATGATTAAATAGTTTTTTTGGCCTTTCTTTCACATATTTCTTATTACCTTTCTTTTATTTTGTCGTTTGTAATTCTTTATCGCGTTTTTTTTGTTCTTTTTTAAATTTTTCAACCTCTTTTTCTTCGAGAGCATCTTTAACCAGAGTACTAGAAATAACAAGCGCTGGAATTTTTTTGTGGGATGCATAGCTTTTCGTTCTGCTCGAGGTAATGAGGAAAACCCACACGCTATTCCTTAATTTTTCAGGTTTTCTTTCTCTCTTTGTTAAGCATTTTTGGTGGCTCTAAATCTCTTGAGGTAAGTGTCGAGGTTGATGGCTGCTGTATATTTAATCCCTTTATGGCTTCTTTTCTAGTTGTATATTTGGGTTTCCTGCATTAACTTCTAATGTTGGTGTAGCTATGTCTTTCTCTCCGTGGTGGCAGCAGCTTCAAAATCATCATCCGAAAATATCTAAGAATTAAATATGGTTTTATTCTTGTGGCTTTTAATCCACTAATAGCATTTGATATCAATTTATACTTAGCCATTCCTGAACTTACCTACTTCATCATCTTATGTCCCTTTTTCCTACCATAGACATATAACCTATTTTTTTTCGACCTAAGTATTATTTCGAGTGTACAAAACAAAATTTGCACAACGTTATATTACTGTCATATTGATAACTGAAAAAAATGTTTACTTTTAAATTGTACCTTGGGACATTACTTATTCGTTGGGATAAAAAATAAATAAGAAGACGCTTAAAATATAAATAAACGTACTACAGAAAATGAGAATTGTTCCATTCGGCTTTTTGATCCTCCAACTACTGTCAGTTTTGTTTTATTTTATTTTAAAAATGTCCAATTTGCTGATTCTACAAAATTATTTTTTAGTTAAATAACTTTAAAATCTTTTTAACCGACTTCAAAAAATTAAAACATTCTGGACTCGCAACATTTACCTGCCATGGAGACATATTTTGAGGTTGATGTGATGGTCCAAGTTCGTCAAAAATCATCAAAAATCTGTTCTAAAACCAACTTCATTTACAATACCTGTGTCTGGTCGATATTTTGCAAAGGCACCTAAAAATTTGTTTTCACCAAATATTTCCGTATTTAGAAGGCAAATGTCTGTTATAGAAAACCACTTTGTACAATTTGGTACAGAGTAATTGATTTTCCTGGATTTTGAAGCATCCATTCACTAACAGTTTGATTGCAATATGTGTTATAAGGGCCAAACACAGTTCGATTCAAAGATTGTAGCTTTTGTGATGTGTGGGATGGAAATGTGAGTAGCACTGCACCATTGGACTGTAGGAGATCAATTAATATAGATGTTTCTAATGATTATCAAAAACAAATAAAACTGGGTTTTTCTTGGATGGCTTTAATGTTTGATATACTGAATGAATTTTTCTTGATGGATTGGTAGCTCTAGTCTAGTTTTGGAAGCTCCGTTCCACATGTGTTCTTTAAAATTAACTCCAGAAAAATAGCATTGGTGGTACGTTGTTTTCTATAGCAGTAATACCGACAAGCATAGTTACATTGATTCCATGTTATCTCGAAGTCATGCAGCCTATTTGTTTTACTTCCTTAGGAACTACAATACTTGAAGAACATTTATATTAGTTTTTGCCGTTTCATTGTATCACCAACTTTTTTTTGTTTAAACTGATTAAACCCAACAAACTAGTTGTCTCTGCTTTTTGTAATAATATTTTGTATGCTGTTTCAAAAACTAAAAACATTCTCTTCCTGGTCTTTGTTCTTCTCGGCATACTAACAAGCCAATACACGATTTTCTTGATAATTTAAACCGTAATGGAGTCGAGATTAGAATAGCAAATATTCCTCTAGATTCTAGATGCTTTTCTTCTTCCACTGTAAATATTTTTCCTATAGCATTCCTAGCTAAATATTCATATCAGGTTTGACGGATTCGCGCTGTAACTTAATGTGGCATGCCAAAATTGATTTGCTGCAGCTGTTGGACTTTAAAAGTTTTTGACTATTTAGAATAAGTTATTTTTTCTGTATACCATCAAACATTTTACTAATTTTATGTTTGCTTATGAATTTCCAAGATTTTATCATTTTTTTTTGCGAATGTAAACATTTCATCCATTTGTATACTTACAGAAAATGCAAATGACTCAATAACAAAAAAATTTATACAATTTAAGTAATTACGACTTTAGAGAATGATTATAATAAATTCGGAGAGTGCTCCTGTAAATCTCCTTTTATCTTAAAGGGGCGTAGATAGTTAGTTTTGAATGATTTTATGAATATTTGGGCAAAACTTAGCTTATCTACTTTTAAATAATGTTTCCCAATTAGATTTATTTATGTTGTAGATATTATAACCGATTTCCATGTCGACTATAGTTAACAAAGAAGTTATTCTTTTGTAATGTGGCAATATTCTATTTTTTTATTTCGTTCATTACTGGTTCATCTGTCAATAATTTAATATGACATATGATTTTAAATGTTGAATTTTTGTCACGAAAAGTTTGGTACCTACAATTTATTTTTTAAATATATTGCATATTTTGTTTTGTGGCCAAGAAATTCTTACATTTTACGTCTGACAGTGTTGCCAGTGTCAAAAGGTAGCGATCCTCATTAAAAAATTACCCTATTTTACCTAAAGTTACCAATAAAATGCAATAATGACTAATGAAGTGATAAACATGACTTTCAAAGCAATAATGTATTCTACTGAATGCATGATTAATAGCGTCAATTTATGATAGTTCATAAATTGGGTAAGAATACCCGAAAATCTTGTAAAATCCTGTGTCGTTGGCAACACTGTTGCCGTAAATACACTAGCGAACCTAGCGGTTTTTTACCCGTAACTCTGATCAATTTTAGCCATGTTTTCTTCTAGAGTTGGTTTATCTTATTGTTTACTGTGGCACTGACATACATATCGTCAATTATAATATAAATATTCTTGCACTTTTGCTCTTCTATATAAAAAATTAAGTATTCTTATAAACTTTGTCTGGTGTTCATTACAATTTAATATAGATCTA